ACGTTAGGCAAACCTGCGACACAATATCTCTGACACAGACCTGGGAAGTAACAGCACTCCCAGAAACCTTTGCAATTTCCTCTCTAACAACACATTAAACATCTAATTTATAAAAAAACCACAGCCACAAACTGCTTGCTTAAATTGGAAATATCGCACTGTACATGACTAGCTGTATATTTAATTCCCATCCAGGCAAAATAAACAGAAGACATCTTGAATAAAAGCAGTTTTCAAGACATAGACCAAACTGCTGAACGGATCAGTCCCCGTCGGCCCCTGTACTTGACCACTGATTCAATGTTTTCAATTAATTCCTCAGCAAATAGCGCAGAAGCAGCACTACGGTACCCTAGACTAACAAGATAAACTGAAAGAAGCTACTTACTGTATATATGGATGTTACAAGGAACATATTTTAGGTTAATAAGTGTTTTTAAAAAAAACAAGCTAGCCTTGCTATGATTCATGAGATATGTTAAATATTCAATAGTTAATTCACTTTGTCCTTAACATGATGCTGGAAAGCAAAAATGTTGATGTTAAAAGTCTAAGTGGTTCTGCTTTCAAATGTTGTGCAATTTTGACATTCTAATGTATTGGCCTGTATTACAGAAAACAAAAGCAGATCGAGAGAGCTTTTTAAAATCTGCAAAAGACAGACACTGACAGTCTCTGTAGCCGTTAGCATGGCTCACTGTAACAAGGGAACACCCGCCTCAGGTGAGAAAGCAGGTGCGGCCTACAGATCCGCATTCATCAACCTTCAGATGAGAGGGCTGAGGGAGGCCGGTACCTACCGCTCCTTGGCAGAGCGAACAGGCAACATCTACGCCTCAGGCCACTGAACCACAGAAAATTAACCTTGAAAAAGACTTCAGACGAGGAGACATCGGAGAAAACAACACCTGAAGGTGAACACCCATTAAATTAAATTAGACAAATGAGATGATTTCTCTGGCGCTTGTCATTCATTACCAATAGAAGTCTCTCAAAAAAAACTGAGTACGTTCACACATGCTCAGATAACTGCCCTGTGTGGTAGTTTGAACAGAAACAACTGAGCCCAATTTTGGCTCACACAATTATTCAACATCCAGGCTTATTTTAACTGAGCAGCGACAGAATGAAAGAAGTCAAAGGTTTTCCCTAATACGGAACTCTTACCCACACAAGGAGAGATCTTTCTACAGATAGACTAAACAGCTTTTTGCATTTTCATGATTAATTTGCCACCTACAGCAAATATTCAACTGGTCGACTGAGCTTTAAAGAATCCAAAGCATCTTATATATGTCTATGTTTTAACATGGGTTGGGGGGGACACTACAAACAGTCAGAAAAGTTCCCCAGATACACAGCACTGGGTTATGACTGAAAACTGATTCAGTATATCCACATACAAGCTCTTCCTTCAATACAATTCAATACCCATATTAGTTACAATTAATGACTGAAGGTTACTCTTGCGGGTCTTTATTAATTAACCATTAAAAACCTCTGGGATCAATTCGTTTTAAGCGAGCTGAAAACTGAAAATGCTAAATGTAAAGAGATTAGTAAGCAAATAACCACACGTAACCAAAATCAAATTGGTTGGAGGATGTCCATCAGACTTAGCAAGTACTTTTCTCCAAAGTGTTTGCACTTCAAGACAAAACAGACAAGATATATAAAAACAAATAATACCAGAGTTATAACAGTTCAAACAAAAGACATTACTTAGCAAAGACCATATGAAAGGTGCATCTTTAAGCAAGATTCAGAGGTGACTTGGAAACGTATTTGATTGCCTCGGGCAGCAATCCAAATTACCCTTTACCCACAAAGCTTAGTCTCACCTTAAGATAAGACATAATAATAATAATAATAATTGCTTACACTTATATAGCGCTTTTCTGGACACTCCACTCAAAGCGCTTTACAGGTAATGGGGACTCCCCTCCACCACCACCAATGTGCAGCCCCACCTGGATGATGCGACGGCAGCCATAGTGCGCCAGAACGCTCCCCACACATCAGCTCTCAGTGGGGAGGAGAGCAGAGTAATGTAGCCAATTCATAGAGGGGGATTATTAGGAGGCCATGATGGGGTAAAGGCCAGGGGGGAAATTTGGCCAGGACACCGGGGTTACACCCCTACTCTTTTCGAGAAGCGCCCTGGGATTTTTAATGACCACAGAGAGTCAGGACCTCGGTTTTACGTCTCATCCGAAGGACGGCGCCTGTTTACAGTATAGTGTCCCCGTCACTATACTGGGGCATTAGGACCCACATGGACCACAGGGTGAGCGCCCCCTGCTGGCCCCACTAACACCTCTTCCAGCAGCAACCTTAGTTTTTCCCAGGAGGTCTCCCATCCAGGTACTGACCAGGCTCACACCTGCTTAGCTTCAGTGGGTTGCCAGTTGTGAGTTGCAGGGTGATATGGCTGCTGGGATGTGCTACCGCAGTAGCACCAGGAATGTGCTACCGCAGTAGCACCTTCAGGGGACCAGGGATGCACCATTTAAAGCCTTAAATGTAAGCACCAGAATGCTTGATATAGCTCAGAATGCTCAGACATACTGTATAAGGCTTTGTTAAAACCTGAGCTTCTATGATATAAGCTTCCAAAAACAACAAAGAGGCAGAAATAGCCCCAAAATGTCTGACCTCACCTTACACAATGCACTAATGCTGGTAAGATTCATGCACTGCTTAAGACATGGCTTGATATTAACATTTCTATCCGCTTATTTTAGGGTTTGAACAGGCTGTGTTCAAACACTAAAATGTGTCAAATTGAAAGCATTCATATATGATCGCATAAGAGAGTTTTAGTGAATATCCCGGCTCACTGGGCCAACAACAGATTTCCAGTTCTCACAATTATTTGAATATATCCATCACTTTGGTATCCACGTGTTATGTATAATCATATATTATCATCCCTCTCAATGTACAAATACATTAATCATATAGCTGTAAAACTCAACCTGCAAACTAAAATCGCATAATAACAAGATTTCGTTATTTCGTTAAACAAGTCTAATACAGTCAATCAGCAGAGAAGGGAGAAATGAATCTACTGAAGCCAGACTGTACAAGCCCTGTGTGGAATTTAGCCAAGACACCAGACAGCAGGGTTAATACCCCTATACTTATGAACTGGGCCAGAGGATCCGTTATTACCCAGAGGTCACAACCTCAGTTTTAACTTCTAAAGCTTAAACATTAACATGCAGATTCTTCAGGATTTTTGAACCAATTTATTCTTATGTAATTGGCACATTCAAAAACAAGCTGTTGCCATTTCCCCAGGAGAGGACATCTGACATTGGCTAAACAGCACATTATCCAAACAGACACTTCCCTTTCAACAAATGCTAACAATTAGAGCTACAGCCCTCACTCTCAGAAAGTGCTCCAGTGCAGGAAACTCTTAATTGCAACTCGTAAATGCAGCCTATTGAATTGTAGCCCAGGGGCACACAAAAGGTGTAAAACAGCCCCTTCGTCACATTTTGCACAAGAGCACACTTGAAAAACTCATTTACAAGAGTGACTACCACCGTTCCAAACTAATGGCTATAGTAATGTGAAGTCAAACTGGTAATGCAAGCTTTTATTTGTTTTGGACTAACGATAAATGAATGCCATTGTCCTTCACACATTCTACAGAACAGCCACCACACTGAGGTAAGACACTAATTCATCACTCACCTGTGCTAAGCTTTGAACACGTGGCAATATCCTAGTTCCTGTTTCCTACTAGGATCCTGGATGTATGCTAATGATTCATTAGGACCACTGTGCTTTAAGCAAATAATAACTGGGAAGCGTTCCAAGTGCCATTTGATACCCTCATGATTTTTTTCTGTATCAGTTATTCTAATAGTTGATCATTGAAAAATTAAAAATATAAGTACTAGACACAAAGCTACAACTAGCTATAATCTATAGACACGGAACATGCTTTTCACTTTTTCTTTTAGTTATATACTGTAACTTCTAAACATTTGTTATTTGAGGAAAACCTTTAGAATAGGTGCCTCTCAAGACCTAGTCTTTAATAATCAATAATTATGTACCACCCATGATGACCCTGTATCTCATTTGATTTCTGTGTATTCACTTGAGTTCACTGTAGCACTGGAACCCAGTTAGTGACAGAGGGGTTTAATTAGCGTAACTAAAATGTGGTTCAAGCTCCAATTATGTGTATACGTGTTGCACTGTATACACCCTCAAAAGTCTCAAGGTATTCAAATCAGATAGATGCTGTAAGATCTGGAAATAACTAGTAAACCACATGAACACAGTCAAGACTTACATTCAATAGATAAAATCATAGCTACATGGGGTAAAAGGGACAAACATTAACATTCACCGGCGACAAAACAGCATCCTCTACCTTTGATGAACTGAAATGCTAAAACCGCGCAGTTTCCACTCAGAGTCACAGTAATGAAAGCGACTCACTTCACAGCGTGATACGTTTTTATTTCTCGTACATAAAGATATTTGGGATTTTCAAAAGTTCATTGTGCAATTTTGAACTTGCAATGCAAAACAAAAACCAACATAGCCAAAATAAATGAAACCTCAAATGCAGCCTCAAAAATTAATGCTCAAAAGAAATAATCAGCTCCTAGAGACAGAAGGAAAAAATAAATGCCCTCCCACAACACTGTTTCTGCGATCCCCTGAATGAACCATAAATGAACTAGTTTTTAGATCTGTCTGCAGCCCTAGACACTTCACCCAATTTCAAAGATTTTAGATCAGACGTGTTTCTTTGATATTGAATCGCATACTTATTCGTTATAAATCAAAGTACGGGATGCATTTCGTCATAATAATTTCTTTTCTATACAAAAGGAGCACTGCAAGTTTGCAGAATGCAGTCTCCACAGGGGATGTCTAATGTCAGCCGCCTCACATAGCAAGCTTCCACAGATGAAGAATAAGCCACCCAGGCCATTCTGGGGATGGACACGGGCACCTGCAGTACTCACCTTCTGACATCGAAGGCCATGGTGTTGCATGTAGTAAATTGTAACACAAAGGAGAAATAAACTTAAAGGGACCACAGCTGAAATCTGCGCTTCTGTCCGCCGGCAGCTCACACCGGGGGTGACGTCACCATAGGACGCTTTGCAAAACTCCATTGGCTACTGACACGCGGGCGATTGATTCTCCTTCCGCTCCGTCTTTAAAGGGACAGTAACAGGCCTGCATACGGATATGTACTGTAATTAAACATTTAGATTATTTGGCTCATTGTAAAAAGGCTTTTTTTTATTTGAACGCAAGTTATTCAAAAATATTTAAACGTTTCTTCGTCTTAGTGTTGGTAATGGTGAAAAATGTGTCCGTATTTCATCCTACTTATATATTTAGTCGATTTGTCTGTCTTTTTTATCTCGTTAAGTTTTTGAGAATGGTATTCTTTCGTTTTAACAAACTACAATTATCTCAGTTCAGCCTATATTTTTTGTTCATATCTATTTTTACTCCTTTTGTAACGCAATCCTATCACAGTGTAACTCAAGTTGGATAAAGACCTCTGCCAAATATCCTGCATATAACACTGCATATACTGTCTCAAAAAGTGCCCTTTAAGGAATAGGGAACGACAAACTTCCATTTCACAAAGATAGTAAAAGAACCTGATAGTGCTTATTCAAATATAGGATCTTCCATTCAAAAGAACCTCTTTGTTATGGGATTCTGTGACACAACCAGTATTGTTAAGCCCTTCTCAATAGCAGAGAGGCTCAAAACCCTTTCTTTGTGTTCCCCTTTCAGAAACCCATGCTCTCATTTTCTTAATTTACCTACAGAAATGTTCAAATAAATTCAATTTTGGGACAGTGTTGTTCAGCTGTAATAATTAAGTCTGTCTACCTGTCTGAGTCCAGGAGGCTTGTCCTACAGGTTAGAAGACACAGATGATGATGATGATTGAGGTCTGCTTTAAAACAACATTGTTTAATTATACAAAGGAACAAGTAAAGGTTTGCTCCGTACTAAAAAGAAAAGAACAAAGACACAGTGTTTTTTTTGGGGGGGCTGAGGTGCCTTCCTCAGGTGATAGTTCAATTTTATAGTCTTTTGTCAATGAGAACATTTAGGGTTTGGTGCAAAGCAAGAGTTTGTTATTTAAACCAGGGATGAGAACTGAACAGGTCATCTTGTCAGAAGAGGGCTGGGGTGGTTCTGAGGTTCAGCTGTGTCTGAAAAACAGGCATGAAAAGGGTTTAGTTAACTCATGGGGTGTCGTTGAATTGGTAAATGAGGAGGAGACCCAGACTGGAAGCACATGATTTTGATTCTGCAGGGTGTGGCTCCAAAGTTGTGTTTGAATCAGGCTCCGTTTCACTTTTTCTTTTCTGTTTAGAGGATGATGAGTCACCATTGTTACAATTCAACCAAAGAATATACGCAAACCTGCATCTGCCCTTACCCAGGAGATCTAAGATTTTACCACAGTGCACCTTCTCAAATCTAAGTGTTTTTTTTTTTAAAAAAAAAAGCATAACACGCTTGGTCATCTAACAGATGTTAGCTTTTTGTCCTAACAAGAACACTTCTCTTTACTAGAGATAGACTACCAACAGTTCTACCCATCCACTGACCACAGCTGAAAGAGTTTTCCCTTGTGCTCCTGTCTGGAAGGACTGGGGGATCATAGGATTATGTCATTGGTGTTTCCTAATTAAGAAACAAAAGAACCTCACTTTCATCCTAGTACAAGCACAGTAAGCTGACTAGTACTGTTTGAAACTTCCCCTGGGTTCCAGTCAGCTTCCTCACCAACATCACCACCATTCACTCTTGACTGGCAAAAGCCCAGAAATTACAGCACTCAGCGGAGAGGGCAGTCTTTAGGAACAGACCAAGACAAACTTGAAGGTTTCAGTTCCCTTTCACTCTGTGAAGACTGAAGCCACAATTACAGTATATCATAACATTCTTGTCTAAAGGCAGATATCATTCAAACAAGGTATGACTCAGTCATCATCCCCTACCGTGACACAGTCTGTTATTTTAGAGCATTATATACAATGACTTGTCAGAATGACAAATAGGGTGTTTGATTCCATTTGAACCTTACACGCAATATAAAAGGCATATTTATCCTCACATTATAAAAAGCTAATTTGTCAACATATTACACACATTGAGAAGAAAGAAAACACGTTTTGGTTGTGGAGCCTTCTTTCGGGTGTAAGATCACACCCAAAGAAGGCTCCACAGCTGAAACGTTGTTTTCTTTCTTCTCTTTTCAGCAGGGAATAAACCTCTTACTTGTTCCTTTGCAGCCTACGCCTGCTGACGCAGCTACCCACCTGAACTATTACATACATTTATATCGACATTAAATTAGGATCATTAAACTAAATGGAAGTCTTTCAAAGGCAGTACAATATGGGAAAGTGGTAAAACATGAAAAGAAAATCAGAATACACGCCCATCCCCTTAAGAAAACACACACCCTCCCTGCCTGCCCTGTGCTGATTATCCTTCATCAGACGTGCTGACTTCAGCAAGCAAAGTCCATTACTGCACGTACTGTCAACAGGGAGAACAAGAAAGCCTGATGGAGTGCTTCAGGATTTCCACAGGGCACATCTTGTGCTATAGTCTTCAACCACCTGAGCTCTGAGTGAGCCGGTGCATTCCTGTTCACCTTACATCACAACAACTGATGGTGTTATTATTGGGTTTTTTTCTTCTTGTAAAAGACTGTCAATGCAAATCACCCATACAGTGTATAAATCAAAGAATTCTAGAATCTACAGTATGTTCTTCAATGTTACAAATCCCATTGTTACAAATAAATGATGGAATAGGAACAAAGGGGAAAAAACATACTGTAATCACATAAAAGAACATTGGTTGGTGAAACAATTCATGTAAATTTAAACTTACAGTCATAGCAAAAGTAAAGATATCTACTCTTATTACAAGAGTATGATAAGGGTTGGCAGGTCTACTTGATTAAAAAGAAAATAAGTTTAATAGATGCTTGTATCTGCTGTAAGACAGTAGCTAAATTGAAACTCAAATATTTTTTTAAGATACTGTATAAGCATAAAACAGTAACATAGACTGTATTAATAAGAAAGCAAGAGTTTTTCAGTAATATAAAAATTGGATAAATACCTAAAAATATCACTTACAATATTATTTGAAAAAAGTATTATTTTATTTTTTCTTATGTCTTGTGATTCACTGTGAAGCAATATGTTCTTGACTCCATTGTAAATGTTACACACATTTTGTATGACTCACATTTGAGAATTTGAGCCCCGTTATGCAATTTTCGAAATGTCTTATTTACATACTCTGAAGGTTTTATCCCACTTTGAAAAAATAAAATACACATATGTATTGGAATGTTCCAGACTCTTAGAAAGTTTTGGAATGTTAAAGAGAGTTCTGCTGATGATGTCATGTGATATTTCAGAAAACATTACATTATCTCAGCCAAATGTGATATTACTAAGAAATGAACTACTTCAGAACATAAATTCATATACTTTTAAAGCAGGATTTTTTTTAGTCTTTCATCATTTCTTAGTTTTAAGCTTTACAAACCCAAAGAGTAATAAGTACTAATTAGACAAAAATACACAACAGACTGAAGTCCCTGCTGTAGTGTTTTTCGACAACGTCATAAATGCCCACCGAAGGTAATTAAATAGCAATGATAGAAAAAAAAAACATTCACTAAAATTCCCCCAAATGATAATAACGTTTATAAGGGATATCAAGCATATTTAAAGAACAAGTACAGGTTTATTCCATGCTGAAAAAGAGAAGAAAGAAAACACAACGTTTCAGCTGTGGAGCCTTCTTCGGGTGTGACGCAGCTACCCGAACTTCTTCGAGCATATACTGTATATATTTATATTGATTCGGACACACATCGAGCATATACTGTATATATTTATATTGATTCGGACACACATACAGAGCCCGTAAAACACAGCAGTTCCGCCCCGTTCTCTTATAGTCTGTATCTATTGTTGTTAATTGCTGTTGTGATCAGAATCGATTCGGCCCTTTTTTTTTAAGAAAGTAAAATCTTAGATACTCCCGGTCACCCCCAAAACGAAACCAGGAACCCGCAGGGCGGCCCATGCAGATACACGGCGGGCGAGCGCTATCAGCGCTTTGCCCCTCCCCGCACGCGACGGCCCGGCGCGAGATGCCTTCGCTTTGAACGTGATTCACTCCTGCAGAGCCTGACAGTAACTACAGACCGCAGATCCCCCCCCAGCACAACGCGATACTGTGCGCATATGACTCACGAATGCTTTTGGAAACCATTACTTGCCTTTCTCCGTCTTTGCTTTTGTTTTTGTTTGTTTTTCTGTTTCTTTCTGCTCTGTGCTTGTGTGACAGCAATGAACCCATCTTTCCGAAGGAGCGGTCAAATGCCGGAGTTACTCAGGGCAAAGGAATACAGGGCTGAAGCGCCGAGCTTCTCTCGTTTGGCATGAACAGCCCCGGGTGACTTGTTTAAATGATTTAATTATGATATAGGCTCCAATTCTGAGCTAAATAAAGGCGAACATTAATGTTATTTACGTTGTCTGACGGGGTATACGACCTTCAATACCTTGACTGCGCTTTAATACGAAACACTGTGTTCTTCACTGCACATTTTCATACAGGTGTGTATTGTAAGCATAAGTATTGTAAGGCTTGAACCCAGGCATGTCATTCCAGATCACGCTCGAATAAAAAGAAAGTGTAAATCTGTCTCATATTCTGATAGCATAATATATTATGCTAAAAAAAACAATTTCTATATTGTCTTGTTTATTGTAAAGGCCAGTGGTCGAAGGCAGACTTTGTTGGAATATTTATTCAAATATTAATAGTTCTGTAATATCAATTTTCTTGGTAACCCCTATGGTGTGTCACTTTAGTCACAGGTTTTTTATGCAATGTTTTCATTACACCAGAAAAAAACGTCAGCCACACGCCCTGTTCAAACATCCTCCACGCCCAGGTTTAACTGAGGCCAAATGATAAACTGACAGTCTAGTTTTTCAGCTCCCAAAACAAGCAAGTATGTAGCTTGTGAAAGGACAGAATGGAGAGACCGGTGTTTCTTCAGGTGTGCGGCCAATCCCCCACCTCTGCAAAGTTGTGTTTCTTCTTTCATTTTGCATTTCAGGCTGGAAGAAAGACCTTTACTTGATCCCTGGCACACTTACACAGTCCCTAACTAAAACCTCTATATCTCAGGGAGACTCGTTAGAGCTAAACAGAATGATCTTCATCTTATACTGTACATGAATCACCTTTTAAGGTCTAAATAACATTGAAATTCCTTGCAACAACTCAAAATTAGGATTTTTGTGGTAGCACGAGATTACAGAGCTCTGTACTCTTAAGGCGGCCTGTTTAATTTCAATACCTTTATTATTTCCATGTTGCAGTTTTCATGCATTCCACCTGAACCTTAGAACAGTACTGTTCTCTCTTTCACGCCCATGCTGTAAACAGGAAATTGAATGATCGTTCTTTCAGCTGGGACAAAAACAAGGCAATAAGTCCTTGTACATAAGGTGTTTGTCTGAGTCACCTGCAGAACAACCGGTATTGCACGTGACTGTACCACAACACTCACATCAGCACAAAGGCTGTGACTCATAACTACCAGCGAAACACTACTGAGAGGAGTAAACCTCAACACAGCAAGGGCTACTCCAGTGTTGCGATCCATGTCTGATGACGAGACAGCACATTCTACACACAGTGGGAGCACGTAAAAGTACATGAAAAGTTGCCCAGCCCTGCCATTGAAGCCAGTAAATGTCATGAAATGACTTGGTGACGTTCTCGCATCAGTGAGCTACTAGTTGCCATACAGACTGGGTGGTCTGAAAGGAGTCCGCCAGATTGTCCCTCATGTCCTCGATTTATTTAACAACAAAACGGTCGTCTTTGTCAGGCTATTCTGTACCTCTTTGGTATAAGAACTGACAAGGGAAAAGGCCTGTCCTGTGGTGAGACATTAAGGACTCGAGACACACAAGAAGACCTCAACAAGGGGGGTCTGTGCTGTGGTCTTAATTCCACACCACGACTGTACCTTATTGTACCTGCTCGTTCGAGTTTTTCCATTTTATTAAGCCCTCTGTGGCTTACATCACTCCAAGTCTCCGCTAATGGTCACAGCATGTCAAAGGGAAGGTGACAATGAAAGAAGTTGGATCCTGAACTCGGCCACAGTATATGAACCCTCCACACAGCAAGTGTTGATAGCTTCATGGAAATTTACCAGACCCTAGGTTTTTATATAGTGATTAACTTTTATGGTTTACCTTAGCACCCAGCATTAGCCCCGATGCAGTACTTAAGGAGAACATAAAATTTTATGGGCGGCGTGGCAGATATTCGTTTATTGTCTTGTTATTTGTCAGAGCTCCTTTGAGGGGTAAAAAATAAAACGAAAACAAACAATAACATCATGGAATTTTTTCAGCCTTCACAGAAGATCACTGGGATTCCTGACACGTCCCCATGAACAGGCAGCAGAGCCCTCGGATTAAAACGCAGTTGAAAGATTTCTCATTTCTGGGGTAACAAAGCTTCACCCGATTGTTCAGAAACACGGCTATCTCTGTTATTTATCCGTAAGCCTAAAAAGTAAGTCCTGAAAGAAAATCCACTTAGGAAAGAAGATGCGGTACTAACACAGCATACTTACCTGAACGTGTGCCTCGTTTTACTATCTTACTAACGGTACTTTTACAAATGATGTGTTTTAACCTGTTTCTTATTTGATATTCTGTTCCACCAAGGCCGGGAGAACAGACTACCTATTTTAAAACGTAAGAGGAAGTTTAAAAAGCGAATCGTCACGTAATTCTCGGGGGTTTATTCTTCTACAGAAATCACTTTCAGGTCAAACGTCGGGGGGCTGTATTTTGGAATCGAGTGGTCGGCAGCAGACATTACAGATCTAGAAATGCTCTTTTATCTTTCCATATACAGATGATATCTTTGAAGTGTTTCAAATAATTGATGAGTCAAGTGCGCCGTCCCGATCAAACATCAGAAATATTTGATCACCACTTTTCGTATATCATAGGATTGTATTGCACGCTGTGACATCACTGTAGTTTTTGGTGAATAACCTTTAGTGACCAGAATAGGACTTCTCCTCCTTAAATAGTAACACAGCGGTAAACTCACGAAAACTCTCGGGACAAAACCATTCCTCGGCCGTAACACCGTGCTGCCCTGCTTCTTACAAACTTGGCTTTGCTCCAGGTCTCAGATCGCAATCTCGGGTTTGTTTGGCTTTGCAGGAACTTTGGCTGCCCGGGTTTAGCCCTGCTCGTGGAATGACGTCGCCCAAGTTTACGCTGGGCACGCTGCCAAGGGGAGGCGGAGCCTCTACGTCATCGCATTCTCATTCACAAAAAGAGCGCCGGCTCCCCATATAAAAACCACACTGCCGAGGGTTAGGCAGAAGCAAGCGTACATCAGCGGCTGGGAAGTCTTAGGCAGGACGGACGCCAGCACAACAGCAAAAGAAAAACAAAGGGACTGATTGTAAAGAACAAGCGGATTCTTATCGATACCGGCTTTTGGGTTGTTTGTTTGTTTGTTTGTTTTGGGGGGCAACCCGCGTGTTCTTTTTCGAACCGAGAGAGTGCTCCGTCAAAGAACAGAAAGAGTAACCAACTGAAGATACTCATCGTAATAAAATAAAAAAAGGCAACAACCGTATTCGTCCCGCGCTCGATTCATTTTCGTATCGGGGAAGGAAGGGGGTGAAGAACGGACTCGCCGTCTGTTTCCTTTATGCGTCTAGATTTGCCGTTCTCAACGTGTCGCCCCACTACTATGGTCATAATGGAAGTCCCCAGCCTCGACTGCGCCGCCTTCCGAAACCTGCTGGACGCCGGCGCGCTGGTCCTCGACTGCCGCTCCTTCTTCTCCTTCAACTCCTCTCACATCCCCGGCTCTACCAACGTGCGCTTCAGCACCATCGTGCGCCGGCGGGCCCGGGGCGGGCTGGGGCTGGAGCACATCGTGCCCAACGAGGAGGCCCGGTGCCGGCTGCTGTCCGGCCAGTGCCGCGCGGTGGTGTTCCTGGACGAGCGCAGCGCGGACTTCGAGCAGGTCAAGAAGGACAGCACGCTCATGCTGGCCGTCGCCGCCCTGCGCCGCGACCCCTGCGGGGCCAGCGTGTTCCTGCTCAGAGGTGCGTCTGAACCCCGGCTCCTGACACGTTTGCCGAGCCCGAGAAAGAGGTTCCTCGGTGGTCTTTTTTGCTCTGTGAGCACGCCGTTAGCGTGGCGTGGTGCCCGAGTCGCGCAACGCTTTTTTTTTCTCTCTCTCTCTCCCCTGGACTACAAGCCTAAGCGACCTGTTTTGTCATTGTAAATTGTTTCCCCGGTCTCCACTTTGGGGGGAGTTAAAGAGACCGGGCTGCTCAGGTTTCTGCCCGCCAAGTGGCCCGTCTGTACAGCGGCGGTTCCGGGTGCCGGAGCCGCGTCGCCTTTTGTGTCCAGATTTTAAAAGGCGCCGGGGTAGACCAGCGCTGAAGTGCGGCGCTAGGCGTTCATAATAACCTTCCGGTTTCCCCTTTCATGCTTTAGGTGGCTTCGAGGCGTTTGCCTCCGAGTTTCCCGAGCTGTGCACGAAGCCCGCCGCCCCGCAGGGCTTGTGTTTGCCGCTGAGCTCCAGCTGCCCGCCCGGGAGCGCGGAGTCCGGCTGCAGTTCCTGTGGGACACCGCTGTACGACCAGGTAAGCTCCTGCACATTGTAAGAGCAGAGTTAGAGCCTTAAGCTGCTCGGCTCTTTAAAATGAACCAACCACAGTCTCTGTTTCGCACTCGCTTCCCCCTTTTTAGCGTCTGACAGTGACACGGCAAAAATAACGCTTTTGATACTCTAAAAACACTGTCGACGGCAGAAATTCCCCTTTGCAGCGGCAGATTCGGGGGAAAAAATAACCATTCATAAGGGTATTTTCGTTCGCTAAATGTTTTTTTCCCGCCCCAAGACAGACCATTAATTATGTTCTGTAGGGATTGTGACAGTTTTCTTAAACCTTGTTGTGGGTCGATTTAACGTGACATCTAGTAACGTATTACTCACGTCTTAATTACAAGCCTTCCTGTAAAAAAGAAAAGTGAAAATAGCATAAGCTAAAAGGGTTGTTTTTTTTCCCCCAGACTTGATAAGACCAGCGCTGCTGCTGCATTAGTGACCAAATGTGTGTGTTGTCCCTCTCCATTCAGGGTGGTCCAGTTGAGATCCTGCCCTTCCTCTATCTGGGCAGTGCCTACCACGCCTCCAGGAAGGACATGCTGGACACTCTGGGCATCACGGCCCTCATCAACGTGTCCGCCAACTGCCCGAACCACTTTGAGGGTCACTATCAGTACAAGAGCATCCCGGTGGAGGACAACCACAAGGCTGACATCAGCTCCTGGTTCAACGAGGCCATCGAGTTCATCGGTGAGCACGTTCTTTCCAACGCTTTCTAAATACACGGCACTTTTCGTGCAAATCTCCTGGCGTAGACTTGAGTTTCTTCTTGTGTCCCAGAGAAGGAAGCTTTCTTCCTGTGTTGGCAGGCCCATCTATACTACTGTACTACTCCTGGCTGTGGACTTGTGTGCTTTCTGATTTCTGCTTCTTCAGTTTTGTCTGGAAACGGTTCTAAAACTGCCACTTACATTTGGCATGCTCAGTATTGTCCCTCTATTGTCAGTAGATTTCATTTCTACTACAGAAAAAAATGTTCCGGGTCCAAAATTCTAGTATTGATATGAAACTATACTTACTCAAATACTGAAATCCTTACTCGCGTGCAGAATGTGGCTACGAGTACACTCCAGAAATCAAAAACAGACTCTTAATGGAAGGCCTTTCTCTTCAGCTCTGCGAGACCTGATTCAAATTCAAAAGGGGTTTCCCTCCAATTTTTCGACAGCTGGTCAGCCGAGCTCCCTGGCAGGCAGGCTGATGTCATCCCCCACCCCCCTTGCCCCATTCAGATTCAAGAGGGGCACCCCCCACTCCCTAAACCACACAGGCACACCCCCTCTTGTGTTAACCACAAGGCCACGACCTGGGCTGCTTTTGAGCAGAGTGGCTGGTCTGTTCCTGTCGTGCCTCCAGTCTCCAGCAGAACAAAGGCTGCGGAACAAAAGGTGGTTTCTCCCTCGCTCTCCGCTGGCCTTCCTCCCGGACTGATGCTCACAGCAGGAGGGGGGGGGGTGCTTTCTTAATGTGTACCCCCACCCCCCACTCCCACCCTTCAGCCAGGGCAGGCCTTTGTCAGTCTTCCCCTCCATTTGTTTGCGCTCTTTATAGCCACTCTTCCTGTTTCAGAATGAGGCAGTGTCCCTCTATTAGTCGGGTCATTAACGGCTTTATTGCCAGCGCGGAGCAACATAGCGAGACGGAATCGGATGCCGTCGCAGCGGTTTTCAGCCCCCTGCTCCTGCCGTGTTGTTTGGAAGCCCTGAGAAGACGCTGGGCCGTGTCGAGCTGGCCGGTCCTGAGCCTCTCGCCCCCTCTCTCTTCCAGACTCAGTGCGGAACAGCGGCGGCCGTGTCTTCGTCCACTGCCAGGCCGGCATCTCGCGCTCCGCCACCATCTGCCTGGCCTACCTGATGAGGACCAACCGGGTCAAGCTGGACGAGGCCTTCGAGTTCGTCAAGCAGCGGCGCAGCGTCATCTCCCCCAACTTCAGCTTCATGGGCCAGCTGCTGCAGTTCGAGTCCCAGGTGCTGGCGCCCTCCTCCTGCTCGGCAGAAGCCGGCAGCCCTGCTCTGGGCAACACGGGCACCGTCTTCAACTTCCCCGTCTCCATCCCCGTCTGCTCCTCCTCCAGCCCCCTGACCTTCCTGCACAGCCCCATCACCACCTCCCCCAGCTGCTGAGCCGGAGGCCGGATCCGCCGATGCGCTGTCGGCCGCGTGGCTGTACCTTTTCGGAGACCCGGCACTGCGGGCCTGATTGTCTCGTTGGGATGATCGCGGCTGCCGACAGGGGGAGCTGGACACGTCGGTTCTTTGGTGGACTCCCAATCTGTGCCTTTGCCCCTTGTTTTGTGAAGCACTACTTTAGTTGCAACAGGCAGTGAAGATGACTGACAAGCCCCCTCTCCCCGATACGAACTTGTGCAATAATGTGAAAATGACAGTATTGGCTCTCGCCGTCCTGGGGCAAAGAAGTATTCAGACAACAGTGAAGGCCCGCTGACCCTCTCCCCTACTCCCAAACCCTCTACGGCAGACATCGAAGACTCCTGGCAGCAGCTTGTAGGGATGAGCTGAAGCAGGTGGTTGGGGTCTTTAGTGATTGTGTCGGTGGTAGCAGCAGCCAAGTCTGAAATCCAGGTTGTGCATTCAAGGAGAACCTACTTTTCTTCCGCACCTTGGTAGATGCACAGAAATCGGGTGAACCAGAAAGACAGGTCTCCCATGATTTTCATCGTGCTTCTTTCCGCTAAGCTAACACAAGGTGATTCCTTAGCCTTGTTGGTGTGTGTGTGTGTCTTGGGAAGGATTATTTGTATTTGTTAACATTCTCTCAGGTAGCTTTTTTTTGTGGTGCGTGCGTCAACTCCCAAGTGGTCTTAGTACTATTTCATGTTGCTTAGGTATTATGTAAAAGGACTGTGAATTTAAACATAAAATGCTGTAGCCACCTTTCACTCGGAGGTGAACAGGCACTCCTCAATTTGTTTGTTGGCCTGAGGATATGTCTGTGTTGTTCTTGGACTTCTGGCTGTCTTGGACACTGCAGAAAAGGCCCGGCCTTTAACTGAAGCTCTTATTTGCCTTCCAAGATGTCATTGAAAACACTGTGTATTTTCCAATAATTCCTTTATTGTATTGGGGAAACAAATCCCCAGGATACCTCACTGAACTGGTACTGTGCTGCAGCTCTCTGAAACAATCCCAATGAGCACTATTAAAGGGGAGAATTCAGAAAAGACTGCTATTTGATAACTTATTTATAAACCAAAGTAATATATTTCTTTTATATATTTTGTCATTTTTGATATGTCACTGTTTTTTTGTACCAAGAAATAAACCATTTTTCTTTTACAAGAAAGCAAATTTGCTGTACTCCTTCAGTGCTTGAATTGGTTGCCCTTGGTGTAACAGTTCCTTCTTCAGCGAATGGGGAAATTCTGGTCGATCAATGCAAGCGAGTTGTTCCCTTTAGCCACTGTCAGGTTTCACACGTGCACGCCTCGTCTTGCGGCTACGAAAGAGCTCTGAGAAGACCAAAAGAGAAGGCTTGTGATCCGAGCTGGAGAAAGTTCAACAGAAAGCTTTGGCCCCCATCTCTTTACTTTTATTTGTGTGGTGCAAAGTTGGGGGGGGGGGGGGAAATCCCTAATAAGAATAAATAGTTGCTTACAGAAGATGTAGGAATTTAAACATTTATTCCCATATCCTGTACACATAACGGACTGAGAGAGCCGCAGAACCAGGTGGGTTAGGAGCTGTAGAGTCTGTCCTCCCACTGCCAATCATAAAAATAATCTGCTCAAGTGATACCTACAGCATAAAACAAGTGCTGTTTTGTAGGTATATTATTCTTCATTTCTGCTCCCTCCCTTTCTCCTTTCTCATGTGAAGAATTCTTCTTTCCTGCTTCTTTCTTTGCAGATACGTTCTCTAAACTGACTATAGCTGTTTATAGAAGGCCATACCGTAACCGAGGGCAACAGTTTTGGTGCATGTTGTTCTCATTATTCTAGTCCCTTAGGGAGTCAAAACATGTTTACAGTTTGAAACCACAAATCGTCCTTCACCACATAATTTAGGTGATCTCATCCTTTGAACTCAGCAGTTTAAAGTGTCTCTGGTATCATTCCTCCATTTTCATCTGTTGATGATTGTGGAAAAAGTCTATTGTATGCATGTGTTAGCTCGTATTTTACAAGAATTTAGCAAAATGTTTAAGATTATGAATGGTACACCCGTTTTCCTGTTACTGTAAAGTAAGCACAACTAATATGTAGTTCACAGAGGGTTTCAAAGACTTTGATATTTAAGGAAAACATTTTTGAAATGCCACTAAAATGAACAAGAAAATATAAAGTGACTAGTATTGTGAGAACAAAACCATGTATTTCAGGAATAACCGGAAAGTTTTTTTTTCTGATAATGTCAGAATTTTACTTTTATGTAATAGACGGAGTGGTGCAGCACACATAAAGATAATGAGCGATTGTCTAAAGCTTCAGATTGTGATCACTACTCAAACTATTTTGCGTTGTGTGGAAACCTAGGACTCTACCGCAGAGCCTTCAGCTGGTACCAGAAAGCAAGCCATACAAATGGAATTTAAAAAAGGACTTTGGGTTGAAAGTAAACTCTTAAGCACAGTTTCCGTGTAGGGACTCCGAACTTTCATTCCGAAATCACAAACTGAAAAACAAAAACTCAGAAAATGATAATGACGATCACGATGGATCCTATAGAACTGCTGGAATAAAAAAACAACAAGAAGATTGTTTTACTAACAGGGCGAGTTGTAGGTGGTTCTGTAAGAGATTCTGTGGCATTTTGCTCTTTTTCCCTGAAAGCTGCTGGTCTAAGGCTACCCCTGCAGCTCTGTGCCTTTTGAGTTCAACTTCAATCACCCACCATCGCATAAATGCTTTGAGTTTGCACACCGCAGGCGAAGCGATCTGTGACGATCGTGAGTATTCGAAATTCAAGGCCCAGGACTTGAAATTGGGAAGCCCTGTTGAGCTAAGAGATTTATTTATGTTGGGCCCCTCCGCTGGTTCTAACGTTATTGTACATTCCTAGAAACAAAACGAGTTGAAGCAAGAGGTACAGTATGTTCACTGGTTAAACAAAGTCTCTGTGCAGAGTGACATGCCTGTGTATTTGAGATCGCTGGGAGGTACACAGTGAGTGCTTGTAGCTCCAACGGGGGGGTTAAATGAGAACTTGTGTTGCCGGGGCAGGAATGGACAATAGGGACAGCTGCTAGGCGCTTGAGAAAAGTGGGAAGAGTCGGGGGCTTTCACTTCTTATTCAGATGCAAGTGTTTTTATTCCCATTTTCCAGCTAGGGGCCGTATGAAAGACTGTAACAGAGATTCCCACCGAAAGGGGGAACGAGGTGTGTGTGGAAAATTAGCACAACATTGAACGCCCCCCCACAACACCCACCACCCAGTAGAAAAACAAAACACCCCTCGCCACTCTGAATCGCATTAGAGCATTTCAATAGCCCAGGAAGAAATAAGCCAACTGCAGAGAATGAGGTGAAAATCAGACGTCTCTATTGTCTTGCTGTTCTAGTTTTTAATGACAGCTTATGTGTTTTCAGAAGTGGGAATTTGTTTTTTTCAGCATGGCAGAACACTTAAAAAAACAGGTGTTTGTTACTACTTACAGTAGCTTCTCTAAGCAGCCTCGTCCTAAGGACGGAGCTGTAGAAAAATCAAATATTCTCACATGCTGTCCATGTTCATTTTTTCCACTCCTTCCCAGTTTCCTTACCGCTCAAGAGGAGCAGTCAAGAAACATGTTTGTTTTTAAAACGAAATGTAAAAAGAGGTGGCTAAAATCAACAGGAGCAAAGCTCAAATCTTATATCCTTAATTGACTCAAACAAAAACAAACTGTAACTCTCTCCGCGCAAAAAATGTTTCATTACTACTTTGTAAATCTTATCAAAATTAAAACTTATATGAAATGTAAAAAAATAAAAAGAGATGGAGATACATAACACTACAAACACGAGAGAGAATAATTTTAATAAGAAAGGGAAATTGTACACAAAACTTTTCCACAGTTGAGAGTGGCAGTTAGCTCATCAGACGTGTGAAGCCCCTGTTGCTAGGTGACATCATCGTGACCGCCTGAAGAGTCCCCGTTGCCGTAGCGACGACTCTCACTTCCATCCAGGCTTTGTGGCGAAGGCATGGTGGACTTCCTGTTGCACATGTGGCTTTCTTGGCTCCAGGAGAGAAGAGGGAAGGAGCCGAATAAACAGGCAGAGACAGGGAGGGGCTGCCTCATGGCTCCAGACGCAGGTCTTCAGCAGGGCAGGCAGTCACCAACCTGCCTTGCCCTGCAACACAATGGCCAGCAGACGTCTCTGACGTTAACCCCCACTTCCCACAGCGACAGGAAGAAGGCTCTGAACGCTGCACACACGCCAGCAGGCCCGGTCCTTTCTCTTGCACAACATCCCCTTTTCGACCGCAAGTTCAGCAGATCAGGAGCAGATCTGAATCAAGCTACCCATGCTCTCAAAACTGACCCGCGTTTTCGAAATGACACGATTTCCAAAGGGTCACCTAGATTCTGAACATCAGAACGAGAAAAGTGCAGACAGAAACAACCTGCCCTGCTTCTGGAGTTATAAACGTATATGCAACTTCTATACAGATATACGGGATCAGCATACGTGTTCAAGTTTATCATCATCTGGGAGAAATCAATTGAATAGATGATAAACAATTACTTTGTCATACAGATAAGGTAAAACTTTGAAGCACACTTGTTCTGTTGATTATATTTTGCATAAGAGAGACTGATAAAAAACAAGTCAACTTGTGTAATTCATAAAACGGCACATAAAGGTTCATTGAAATAATTCATTGTAATATTAAGAGAGACTGTTCTTTCCAGGACTTCCAGAGCATAGAAATGGCCATACTCCATACTCCTTAGGCTTAATTGAACTATAATAAGCCTTCAGACACGCACACCTGATTTTTGTTCTCTGGAGTGCACTAGGGAAATCTGGGCGAGTCACCTTGTTCAAGTTTAAAGACTTAAGTAAAACAAGGAAATTTTACAGAATATGATGCTTCGACATAAAACGCATGATTGAAATTGATCAAAAGAGAAACCAAAACAATATTACAGAAATGCATGATGCATCTCATGATTCATAGTTTGCACAATTTTACAGGGTCAAGGTCTGGTCACTCACTTGGTAAAACTACACTTTGTTATAGATTTCCCTTTTCTGAATTCAGCCTTGTGTCTAGTAAATAAATTACTTTACCCAGAAGAAACCTAGGACAATGCGGAAACTGTTCTGCATAGTAATGGACAGGCCACAAAGATTGTAGATAAAACAGTAATTCACAGAGCTATTTTGTTTAAGGACAGTAAAGAATTTTATTGAATTTCATTTTATGCAATAATAGTACCAGGGAAAAGCATATAAAACAGAAGAGCATGAAGGAGAGTTCAAAGTCATGTTACAGTACACAATTGTGGAGATTATATAATAAATTCTGTATGTTGTACACAATGGTACTTCATGTCTTAGATTAAGGTACAAGAGGGGACTCTATAAATGCGAGACACTCTGGAACAAGACTAACATAGTGGAGAGCAGAAAAGGGATTCCACTAGAATTGCTAGGTTATTTATTTCTCTACTTTAAGATCCTTGCTTAAACCGATGAGGAAATTGCTTTTACTCAAATTAACGCTTTTTTGTCCCTGTAAACTGACCACTTACAAATGCCCTTAACATGTTTTGCATAAGGACTGAAATGGCACACCTTCAGCGCTGAGGCCTATTATTTCCAATGGCTTGGGTGTGGCTGATACTTGGATTCCTTTTAATACAAGGATGAGGCAATGGAAAATTTCATTATAGGCTCTTTTCCTCACCTCATACGTGTTGTGTGCCGATGATTATGGCTCTCAGCTTTTGGTTGCCTACGTCAAGCCTTTGGCCTCAGCTTTTTAGCGCCTTATCCTGCATTAGCGCCTTCCTAATCTGGCTCCGTGGATAAGGCCACTTGGAGCTCCAGCACGCTGACGTCACAGTCTACAGGAGCTCCCATTGGCTGCAGGGCTTCAGTGTTGCTCATTGTCTGGGTTCTGAAAGGTCTCCAGGTTTTGTCGGTCATACTGTAGCTATTGCTGACTTTGACCGAATGAGCAACATAGCACGTGCCCAGTTCACAAAACTGTAGCCTGAATGCTTGGGGATGACCCTGGTTCATGCTGGTTCACTCATATAGGTTCTTTAGCACAGTAGGGAATAAGAGGACTGGTTTTAATAATGATGTGAGCTATAAACAAACAGCCTTCTAAGAACAGGGAATATTTTGCTTGGTCCATTACCGATTATTAAATAATAATTAACGCTAGAGCTTTAAGATCTAGAAACTGCTGCTTTCTTTCACAGCTCTTTTTTTCCTAACTGGCTACAGTAAGTTGTTGGATCTTTGCAAGTCTGATCGGAAGAGGTCCCAGATCACTTCTTGTAGTGTAGTCTTACTCAAATAACTAAGTCCTGCACTTTTAACCATTTCAAAGATAAAAAGAAAATGGGGGAGAGCAGAATATCATGACAAAAAGATTGAAGGAAAAATTGAAATTATTTATTGCAAATTTACAAGGTTCTTTATTTTATTTTTTTCGAGCCTAAAGGAGATAGCTTCAAACTTTCTAACACCTCTTAACAAGGTGCAACCTGGGTAACACATCATATCAAGAGGACAGTCATTTTGATTTCATGGAGAACAGGGAAGAAGAACAGACTGTGACTTAAATCTCACTTAATATTAGTTCCACTGGAAATGATGTATTACTTCATATGTAGTTAAAGATATGGACATTTACTGTAACGTTTACTCTGCTGTCAACTATGAATGTCTAGAAATATGCCTTTGTTTGGAACAAAGCAGTTTCCATAGTGTTTAAGTTCTTGTTCTGTAAGATGAAAACAGCTCTATAAAACTACGCTTATTCTCCGGGCTCCGTGTGGTTCCCACACGGACAGCAGAGGCATCCGTTGCGTGATGGAGACAATTGCCGTTATCTTACAGACCTGGTAACTCTAGAAGGCTGAGGGCGCTGAGTAATTTCCTGCCTAGCTCTGCTGACTATAAAGGTCATCGTTAGCACACTCGATTCACTGGAAGGCCTTCGCTTGAGAATGTGACAGACCATTTTTAATGACAGGGAAGCAGCTTCCTAGGCCTCGAAATGACAGGGAGACAGACAGCGTGGAAGCACAGTGCTGAAAGGATCATTATTTCGGCTGATTTTAACTACATTACCTTTCACAAACCAGTGATACACTGGCTAGAACACCCCCTGGAAATCACAGGTCATCTGGCTCTGACTCTCCCGTGTATCTCTTTGAAGATTCCTTTCTGATGAACGAAAGCCGTTTCAGCCATAATAAAGAGTAAACCCATGTGTTCGCATCTTAATGGGATTTTAAAAACCGGCATTATTTTCCAAATTACTACAACCCCTACTGCTATGCTCCAGTTGCAAGCTTGTCATTTTAAACGAGACTTAGACGTACAGTGTACTGTATACTGTATATTTCTCTCCTGGGAAATAGCTGAAAATCAACTTGACAGTGTGATTCAAAATTTCTTGTGTCTCATTTCGGGCAACTATCATTCAGACAATCTGTGGGATATTTCTTTGTTCCTTTGCTGCCCGATGCCTTAATCTGTGCACGACAGCCGAAAGAGATGAAGTGGCATTTTTGAAGTCATGTCATTTACCAAACAGCTTTATGCCATACGGTGTTGTGGGAAACAGCGAACGCAAGGCAGGGTACACCCTGGATGTGGCACCAGTCCATCGCAGGGCCAGTGCAGGCCCATCATACATGGGGACAATTTGGAGCCCACGGTAAAGGCCAAGGAGGGAAATTTGGTCCAGAAACCGGGATAACTCCCTACTCTTATCGAGAACCCTGGGATCTTTGATGACCACTGAGAGTTAGGACCTCGGTTTAAACGTCTCATCCAAAAGACGGCGTTTTTTAAGCGAATACTTAAAAGCACTCTGAGCACAAGCGGGCTGACATCATTTGAACACAGACCCAGTGAAATACAGGAGTATTACATTTCCTTTTACTGCCCCGTGGCTTCGCTCCAGCCCTCACAGGGCTCCCTCTGTCCCTGCACTTGCCTCACAGGGAGCCAACACAAAGGCTCCAGAGGGATTAGAGGGAAAAGGGGCAGCAGAGCCTTTCAGATCGCAGACTTAAAATGAAAGATTGGGAAGTGCTGTCCACACGCACCATCCCAGTCCAGCCAGCTCCCGGGTGGGCCCGCGCTTTGGATTGTTAATGCCAGTGGCCGGACTTGAACGCGCCGCGCGCCGCTCAGAAACACGAACGAAGCACATCGAATCACACGCAGGAGGTCATGCCCGATGGCCGAGGCGGGGTCTCTCTCCAGTCAGCACACACCGAAGCACATGAGAGTGCTGCCATGTGTTGGAATAAGCCAGGGAATCTGCTCTTCAGGATGACCTCTCGCTGGGCTGAATCGCAGCTGTGTCTCTCACACGGCCATTTCTTTTTCTGGAAGCTTCTCAGGCCGTGCCAAGGCAGCAAGAAATTATTATTATTATAATTAATTATTATAAGACATTATACCCCCCAGTGACCCCTTAGAGCCAAAGTAACATCTCCTGGACTCAAGAAAATCATCGCTGCTTATAAACTGTGAAACGTGGTCTCTCTTGAGAGCCAGCCAACACTGTGTAAGACTGCACTTAAGTCTGGACCGTCCCCCACACCAAACCAGCAGAGCTTGCAGACACGGACTGGTGCATACCTGGGCTTCAGAGAAATTCGATCTCTGCACTCCCAGCTACAAATAGATCCACACTTCCTGCCATGCAGCATCAGGGGCTCTGAGGCTGGTGATTCCCCCGTGAGAGTTTAACAGTACGCCGACCAAACCAGGCAAACGTTGAAAAATCGGTCTTTCCTCTTTCCTGAGCTTGTTCCCAACAGGCAAGAGGCTACCTCACATCCTTGGCAGAGACACTGGGACTTGTTTTAAATTCAGAATAAACAGTGGAAACTCTGCTTCTCCTTCTTCTGTTTTTTTCATTTTGTGAACTTCTACCTCTTGTCTTGTTGAGACACTACTGTAATACGCCCAGAACTGATACAGACACACTCACCACAATGCATCTGTGGCTGTTCACATGATGAATTCACAGTAGAGATTAGTGAGCATGGGATTGTGTTATTACAAGGTGTACTAAGCTTTCAGACAACAATACAATGCACAGACCTGACAAAACAGCTTTGTCGTGGTTTGCAGTTTTCAACCTTGGAGTATCATAGCTTTCCTGAAGATGACTAATTCCTTTTTTTAACTGTCCACACTGCACAGGCTTCAGTCAACGATAAACCAGAAGCATTTCCACTGCACTTTGCACAACAGCTGAATCAGAGCAGGACCAGCGTTCCTCATGTCCTGTCTTAACACAAGGCCAAGACAATGCCATGAAAATGTGATTGAGTAACATCACTTTTTACAGGCAGGATGTTCTTTCTTTGTATAATAAACAGTAGGCTCTATATTCAGTTAACTGCTTTACAACTGAACAAGATTTCTAGGGAACAAGCAAAACATGTATTAGAGATGGGATTTAGATAAGTACTGCCTGTTAGCTGTTGCTGATAACGTTATCTGATATTAAAGAGAAAAATGTACATAGTGCCTCAGCGTTTATGGGATTCTAAGCTTTTAGCAGGACGAACTTTTATTGAGGTCAAGGGGTTCTGGGGTTTGTCACCCGAAGCAAAAAACAGTCTTGAAGAAAGCCGTGATCACGGGGCTGGTTTTTAAACTGTTAAAACGTGAGGCAGGCACGAAAGGGCGAGCATAACCCACTAGCGGATGCAGATTTCTATGTATATCCATTGATTTAGCAGGGCATAGCATTATTATACTATTTTGCCAGAGTTAAAGTTAAAATAGCACGATTTCACCCGCTCTTAAGCAACTCTCGCGGCTGGGTACAACATCCAATCTCACTGCCTTCACGCCGCCTGACCCTCGCAGCGGTCGAGGGTGACGTACAGAGCCGGCCAAGGACATTCCTGAAATATCTGAACCTCAGATTTGCACGTGTCTCCTGGCGGCGGCTCGCCTCCGGAGGCGGCGCCTCGGCGGTGCCGGCGGATGCAATTTGTCAAAGGCAGCCTCCGTTCCTTTGCTGTTAACGACAGTCGTGAAAACGATTTCTGGATAACAGGACCAAAACGTTTACCTTGCAGAGGAGATAACTCCTGCCTTTTAACTTGTCTCTTCACCCTAAATGATTTTAAAATTAAAATACTGCACCGCTAGCACGAGTCCGCTATCACCATTACACCTAATAAGAAGAATATGTGAATAATAACATCATTAGAAATATTTCGCAACCAGCATAAGCAATATAGAAAAGTTTTCATTTTTTTTCCAGATGGAATTGTATGCTGACAGGCTGAATGGGCACGATCAATCCCTACTTCTGCCGGAGAGCAATGTCAGGGATTACAGAGAATATTACTGTACCGTTAAGAAATCGTGTCCTACTCCATATTCGGATAGGCGGCTTAATTGGGGAAGCTGGAGAACAAAAGAGATAGTAAACCTGCTTATATGTGTCCTAGTAGCTCACTGACCTAACAGCTCCAATAAGGCCACCTCACTGAGATACAGTAGCTTCCACAAACACCCTGCCTCTATGAAAGCAGCAAACTGTGTTTTACAGTAATGTTAGTCTTGGGCAGGTAGCTAAGTACCATATGAACTGCAGGCAATTATATTTCTATTAATATCCACTTGTGTTCTGATCCACACAAGTCATTAGTAGCTGGTGAATGATGAAGTCATACAGTCTAGTAGTATATAGCTCAAGTAGGGAGCTGCGTCAGCATGCGCAGGCTGCAAAGGAACAAGTAAAGATGTATTCCATGCTGAAAAGAGAAGAAAAGAAACACAAGTTTAGGCTGTGGAGCCTTCTTCAGGTATAGTTTAGTATATACTGTAGTCAGTAGAATGGTCAATCTACTGTACATGTTTTGGTTGATCTAACATCCATTACAAATATTTCTAGAGGTGGCAAAACTGAGCATTGGATTCTAGAAACTTTGCAGATTTTGAAACAGGGGGCTTGATTTAAATACACAATTGGGAGTTTCCATTCAGTAATTTATTTTTTTGTAAATGATAACCATTTACTTTAAAATGTCTTATTCCTTTATCATTTCACTGCCAAATGCATCTTAGTATTTGAATAATGTAAAAGTACAGTAGTTTTAAAGAATCACATTATTCTTCCTTACTGTTTGCTGTTTATTACTACAACAGATAAATTCCCTATAAATCAACACAGTATAAGCTGTGAATCAAGCAGGAGCTTACAGATTTATGTCCAGTTTTATCCGTTTACTATGTTTGGATCTTATATAAATGAACACTCTTAATATGTTCTCTAATATTTTTTAAAATTGAAAATCAAAAAACAAAAGAATAAAATAAAGAAAAAAAAAAACGGAAAAGGGGCTGAGGATGACTAGTTCATTTCGCTCTGTGGCCATCTACTTTAACCACGCACGCAGATGTGGCCTTCATCTTGAGCAGACATGTTCTTCGGAAGTGGTGCAAGCAGGGACCTGAGTCCGTGAGCAGGCTGCAGAAGAACAAGATGAGCTCAATTCCTCGCTGAAAAGCAGAAAAACAAAAAAACGCAATATTTCAGCAATATTGATCCTCCTTCATACTTCTTTTCACTACCTCACACACTTGAGGAAGGCAGCGGAAATGTATGTAATGTATGTAATGTAAGAAATGTATTCTTTCAACTGTTCAACATGGCAATACGTTCTTCATTCTCAGCATGGTGTTTTTGACTACAGGAAACAGATGATGTCCAGGTTTGATTCCATTTTTTACACACGAAGCAACTAAAAAACCAGCACTGACCTGTAAATGTTTATGATCAAGCCAGGTTACAAAGGTAAATCCAAAACCTCACTTACAAAATCTGGAATTTACAATGACAGTAAACCAACTGGCCAAAATGCAAAAAAAAAGAAGAAAAAAGATCAGTTTCCATTTTCAGTGTTCGTCTTCACACAGCTACTGACAGACGTATCAAAGGCTCTTTTCAGTCAAGGAATTTCATGCCATATTGCACTTCTGACTTCAGTACAATCCTTGCTGTACATGAAATACCATGTGTTCTGCAGCCCCCCTGCCTGTGATATACACACTCTGTCTTGTGATGGAGTTCGTGATATATGAAGTGAACCTTTCTAGGCAGGCTGGGGCAAGCTGCAGGCATGAAAATACAATTAGACTATTTGCATTGAGTTAAGGGAAGGAAACTCAAATCCTTCCTTTATTTGGAATGGAAATCAGAATTTGCCTCGAGCACGCAGAAGCAGGAATTAAGTGTGATCTGAATTACTGCCAGATGTTTTGTACAATGGCAAGTCTGTGCTGCCTGAGTATTGCCACTCCCACTGAAGGTATTTCTTGAAGTTTATACAAATGTGCTTTTTTGTATGTGTGGGGATGTGGAATTTTAAAACAGTTACTCCCTCTGGTTTCCACGGGCATTGCAAAAAGAAATAAATCAGGTTGAGTCTGAATGTGCCTTTAAATGTGTTTTAATCTTCTCTTTTATTCATATATTTTTATTAGCCTTTGGGACAAACCATATATATATATACACACACAGCATAAACAGACAAAATATTTTTTTAAACTAGTTTTGGGTCTAATCATGCACTTGAATTAAAAACTCCAAAATGTGGAAGAAATTAAGAAAAATATAGGATATACACTTAAGAAGTTTAAATAATATGAAGGTACTATTGAGGAGTTTTTTTAAGGGAGGGTAAAACGTGATTAAATATCATCCTGCAGTATAAAGGTCTCATCCATCAACCAGGAGCTGAAGGATTCTAGTTCATGTTCTAGTTCACTCTGCCCCAGTTGCTCCACTATGCCCAGTTGTACAAATACATGTCAGGATTGCTGGTGGGTCAGTCTGTGATGGACCAGAGTCCCATTCAAGGTGGACTCTCAGTCTGTTAAACATGTGTACGATGAGCCTCTAGGCCCAGAATAGAGCCTTCTGCAACTTGAAAAGGATGTCTTCTAATGTGCTCGTGAACTTTTACTTGAATACTTTACCTCTTTTGTCATCTTCACTTATTTAAATACTTGGCTTCTCTACACTTTTCACTTATTTAAATTTGTTTACAGCGGTTAGCTGTTGACGGACAGCAAGGTGACCTGTTTACTTTCCTGTGGTCGGCGAAGGAAAGACGGCGGACCTCAAGACAGCCAATTCACGTCCAACAGCAGCAGCGGACCTGTTGCAATAAACACTATATACCCTATCCACCACTGAGAAAATAACGCGCTCTGCCAGGGGTTATGCATAGATGAGGAACAATACCGCGTGTTTTTTTAATTTAC